CCCTCCCTCCCTCCCTCCCTCTCTCTCTCTCTTTTTCTTCTTTTTTCGTTATAGAGCCCCTCTGTAACAGCCGCTTTAATAAATTTCTTGGTCCTGGCCAGGTGTGGAGTCATTACTGGCCCCCAACTTCTTTCAACTACCACCCCAGAAACTCATATTACCTTCCTTGTACCTGGAATACTAAGTTGCAGCCATAGGAGTCCAGATGACAGGGTGTATGGGCTCCCAGGGAGCCGATCCACAGTGTACTTTCCTGTCCATTTCTTCCAGGAAACCCAAAGTCAGACCATTTCACATCCTGTTTTGAAATAAAGTTACAGTCTATCAAGAACCAACCAACTCCTCTGCATGGTAGTGTTGCACATTTGTACTTGCACATCTGTTTTCTGGGACCTGGAATATTCTCTTATAGAAAATGCTGCAGATGGGAGAGGTTAGGTTTCCAGAGAAGTTCAAGAAGTTTTTTTAACCAATAATGTATCTGAATAACCTCAGTAATAGTCAGTCATTCAGCAAATATTTACTGACTACTTACAATATGCCAAGCACTGTTCTAGAAGCTTGGGATGAATCAATGAACAAAACAGACAAAAATATCCACCTAGATGAAATTTACATTTTGGAGCCTGGAGACAGACAATAAACAATAGACATAATTATGTAGATATCTAGGGGACGAGTATTTCAGGCAGTGGGAACAGTGAATGCAATGAAAATAACATTGTTTCAAATATCTCTGAAAATCAATTTAGGAAGTCAGAAAGCCATATTCCCTCTAAGCAGTGTAGATAGATATTTGTGGGCATAAGCAACTTTTTTATTTCGACGACCACATAAAAGAAGCTTTCTCCTAGGTTAGCAGAGCTATTTAAAACTATTGATGCTGGAGCCTGAGCTTATACTGACTATATGAGAGTTTCCAGGTGGATGCCACAACTTATCTTTTGAAATACATGTCCATAGAAGACTTTTGCTGTTCTACCCCAGAAGTCACAAACTCCTTAAGTGCAACGAATTTAAGAACAGAGATAGCACAGTGCTCTGGACTGGGACTCTCCTTATGCCTGGCTCTGTAGACAGATCCTGCCCAAGTCCACTACCAGGAAAAGACTGTACTTAGAAGCCCATAGTGCACTGTGGCACTGAAAAACAGGGTCAGACAAACCCAAATCCATGGTATTAAAAACACTTATAATATAGAAAAAAAGAATATACTATTGAATCAGGCATAAAGATTTTGCTCAGAGACTCACTCTGTCACCTAGGCTGGAGTGTAGTGGCATGCTCCTAGTCACAGCAGCCTCGACATGCTAGGTTCAGAAAATCCTTCCGCCTCAGCCTTCCAAGTAGCTGGAACCACGGGGTGCACCACTATACTCAGTTAACTTTTTTGTTTATTGTAGAGCTGAGGTCTCACCAGGCTGGTCTCGAACCCGTGGGCTCAGGCAATCCTTTAGCCTCAGCCTCCCAAAGGGCTGGGATTACAGGCGTGAGCCACCAGCTAGCTTTATTTTTATTTTTACCATGAATTCTTCCTTTGAATATAAAAAAAAAAAACACTTTCATGTGCAGAATGTGGTCCTCAATGCTGACACTTTTATCAGAATCTGCAATCTAAATGTTCTATTTTTAGAGGCAAAACATTAACAGCTGATTCAAAGAGAAAGGATTTTAAAGAGACACTTAGGGAATGGTTTTGAGGAAGACTAGAAAAAGAGCACTTTCATTTTTGTTTTGAGCGATGAAAATAGCTGAATATATGCGCATAACTGATGTCTGTCATGGAAGGGGGGATTTTTGTAGCGTCAGCACCATTATTAATGTGCATGAAACACATGTGGCAGTTCCAGGAGGTAGCAAAAATCATGTTCCCTCTGGATACAGCCTGGAAGCTCCATGCAGGGAGCTTACCTCTGTACTCTCAGCACCTAACATAGTACCTGGCTCTGGGTCAGTGCTTGAAACCTACTGGTTGCTTGGGAGAAAAAGAAGAATCCGTTGACTTATCATGGGTAAATGGTTCAGACCAATAACATTTCTGAGCATCTATCATATAACTGGTATAATGCTGGGTGTTGAGAATACAAAAGTTAATATAACACAAGTCTACCCTTCAAATCTGGTAATGACAGTTCCATAAACAGGGCTTTTCAATAGAATGTGGCAAGTGGTCTGACAGAAATCTTCAGAGAATGCTCTAAGATCACAGCAGAAGGGCCCCGCACCCATACAGGGAACTTAGGTGAGGCTTCCAATGAACCAGGGCCTTGATGAACAACAACTGACCACACCTCAGTCTGAGAAATTTAATTAAAGGTAGCTGACTGAATTCAAGCATTCAGTATAAAAAGGAGCTCTGCCGTAGCTAAGAAGAGGCAGGTTAAAGTGATTAATTAATCTTACAGCTACATCCCTTTGGGAATCTACTGAAGCCAATGCCTCTCTACACACACACACACACACACACACACACACACACACACACACACTTTTTTTGCTGTTTTAAATTTTTTTTAAAAAATTTAATTTTGAAGATGTGGGGTACAATTCAGGGTTAGATATACAAACGTTCATTATGCAGGTACCCTTGTTGATGAGGTGTGCCCCTCCCTCCCCTGGCAGTTTCCCACTACTGCCAATCCTGGCTCCCTCATTCTCTCTGCAGTTTCCAACTACTGCCAATCTCTTTCTTATAGTATTATGTTAATTGTTGAAGGTCCGCTTATGAGTGAGAACATGTGGTACTCAGTTATTTGTTTCTGTGATAGATAACTCAGTATTATAGACTCTAAGTTCACCCAAGTTGCTGCGAAGTTCATAATTTTGTCCCTTCTTTATGGCTATGTAATATTCCATTGTGTATACTACCACATTTTAAAAATCCAGTCCTTTTTCGATGGGCAGCATGGTTGGGTCCATGTTTTTCCTATTGTAAATGATGCTGCAATAAACACGCGCGCACACATACTTTCAAGGAGTTGAGAGACCCACCCTAGGTGAAAAACCCCGTTCTAGAGCCCTGCTACAGAAAGAATCACAGAAGGAAGATTCTTACATGGGGTGGAAGGTAGGGGTATACTGTATGAGAAACCGAGGAACGGCTTCTCTGGCACAGTAATGACTTAAAAAGCAAATTTATTTTGGAATGATGAGATCAGGGTGATCTGAACTACCTAAAATTCCGCAGCAAATTGTCTGGGAAAACCAGGGTGGGAAGGGCTTGGAGGGGAGTGGCAGAGAGAGTGAGTCAAATTAAAAACAGACAGCATTTAGTGTACCTAGTTTGGATGTTTCCTCAGTCTTTTGAGAGTCGGGATTTTCTTCCTGTTGATTTCAGCTACTTGTGGTTAGTCAAACGTCTGAAATTAGTGTAGGCCCAGAAGGAATCTGCCTTGAGTCTTGATAGAAACAGAGGACTCCATTTGGCTGCTACATCAGTGATCAGTGGAGTGATCCATCCGGAGTCTACTACATTCACTTCAAAAGTTGGACAAATCTTTAGAAATTATCTATCCTCAGAAAATCCTAGTCTACACCATCCCTAAAAAAGAGCAATCAAGTAGCTGGCTGACTGCTTACTACAAATCAGTAGTGCTTTCTTGTAACTTCCAAAGGAGGGGCCTAGATCTACTTTTTATAACTACAGAGAACCAGTTTATTTTCTATTTTACCAAACACTGCTACATTTAAATTAGTTGAAAAACTGTATGATTTCTCTTTTTTTTTTTAATGTAGACTCACATTAACTTTTCCTTCCACATGCTCTTCTGTCAACTTCCTTTATTTTGTCAACAGTCCTAAAGCCTGGCTCCCAGTATGAACCCAAGACATAATCTACACGGTACCTTGTATCCATGGGATTACAACATTCTCTGAACTAGACATCATACTATTGACACACTGTTAAGCAGCACTTTTGTTTTTAACTATACCAAGGCTAATATTGGACCTACCTGTTTTTTTTTTAAGGACTGTTGCTTGCATGGTTCTTCAGCTTTACTTATAAGTAGATTTTGGAAAACAGCCATGGGACCCTATCTTCACCCTCTTAAATAATCTTGTTGCTCTTTGCCTGATGTTTTACGATGTTTACATTACTCTCAAACCTTCATCTCCAGTCCTAGCTTCATACCTATTAATGACTCAACATATATTTTCAACCGCTAACAAGTTATCTTTACCTATTTACTGAATTCTTATTGTTGGCCAGGCCTCAGCTCTAATATTTTATATGTAGCATCTCATTTAATCTTTATGAGATTGAAGGTAGTTTTGTTCACTTACATATGTAGTAACTATTGTTGACAGTCCTATAAAAAAAAAGTGGGGCCATTTTTGCTTCTCACATATAATGGGAAAGGGTGCTTTAGGTATTAGCTGGATGGGGTCCAGGGATGCAGCAAACAAAGAAAGGTCCTGTATCTTGCCTAATTTTCATAATACTGAAAAATCTGTTCTCAATGACCTGAGACTAGAATCTATGTCACATATCATCAAAAGATTTTTGGTATGGTCTTAATATATAGTAAATTTTCTAGAAACATAATTACTAAATAAGGGAGGACTGTACTTTGTTTCTGCAACTTTACCAAAATATGTTTTGCAGTTTTACCAGAATGTTCACCATTTTGAAAAATTAAGTCACCAATAGCACTGAAATGACATTTGGGTTAGCAATAGAATCACCAATATCAGCCTGTACTTGTATCATCATTATGATGACTCTACAAATATATACACAAATGTACTTACTTAGGCCATATTTCAAAATGCTAAATATAAAATTTTGGAAATATTCAATTTCCAATTTTATCTTAAGTCTTTCAAATTGAACCTTTTCCCTGTAGATAGGTGCAAGCATTTGATCACTTATGTCTTCTAGTGCCTGAGTATTCATACATTAAAATACCATTTGTAGCTGGGCTCCGTGGCTCAGTCTGTAATCCCGCGCCTTTGGGAGGCTGAGGTGAGTGGATTGCCTGAGCCCGAGGGTTCAAGACCCGCCTGGGCAGCGAGACCTCATCTCTACAATAAATAAAAAAAAAATCAGCTGGGCGTGGTAGCGCATGCCTGTAATTCCGCCTACTTGGAAAGCTGAGGTGGAAGGATCGCCAGAGCCCGGCAGGTCGAAGCTGCGGTGGCCGGGAGCGGCCACTGCACTCCAGACAGAGTGAGATTCCAACTCAAAAAAAAAAACAACAAAAAAAAACCATTTGTTTAAATTCACCTGTATTTTGCAGCTGGACATTTCAGTAGTTTAAAAAATTAATGACCTTACATGTAAAGGTGATGATATCA